CAGGAGATCAGATCACCTTCGTTAATAAAGTTTGTCTATTTTTCCTCTTATCGTAATCCTGTATTAACCGGCAGTTGACTTCTGACTTCATACTACCATGGCCCGACTGCTTGTCATATTGGACCCCTTTCACAGTACTCATCTTACCTTTTTCTCTACCTTTGTGTCTGTCTGCCTCTTTTACATCCGTGAATCGCTCTTCTGTTCCCCACCCCTCGACTTTCTGCTACTTTGATGTTCCTTCCCCTCTGTGAAGCCCGAAGTCAGCTAAAAGGCTAATGATAGCTATCAAAATGCCTGCCATTTGAAATAAACAAATTAATGTTTTGTTCATTATTTAGAAATATTTACACTTGGATTATTGACATGGTGTCGCTTTTCTGCTATGTCATTCGTTTTTTATTTGCCTCTACTGCAAATAATGCTTGTGAGCTTTTCGCTCCCCCATTACCTGAGTAAAATCTGGACGCATAAGATCACATCTCAGTTTGTGTGCGGTGCGTGATTTTATGCGTATCATAGCCGTATTAACTTCAAAATCTGGCGTACAAACTCCAAAACGTAAGATCAACACTTAGCTAAGCGGTTAGTTGACTTTTACTGGATGCAATACCAAACAATGTCCCAGGATTTTAGTACGTCTTGGCATTTGTAAAATTTTATTTCTTTTTTCATGGTACTATTCATTTTATTCAACAATGAGCACTCCTAGCTAACTCTCTGCACAGTGCGTCTTCTCTATATTTCGGTTACTGCATATCCCTCTCTTCTCGTTGGACGCCTATTGTCTTCTAACGGTTTCGTTCTCATAGTATCTCTCCGAATTCCTGAAAAGATTTAGCCAATTTCAATTTTCCTATGAATTGCTTTTCTGATCTTCAAACCTCACTATAAAAAGTAAGGATTAGTTACTTACGATATTATGTTCACCTAACTTAAAATTGTTGGATCAATCTTCGAAAGAAGCAAAACTTTTCTTTATTTTGAATTTTTGTTAGAATCTTTGTAGTGTCTTCTCATTTTCTGTTTGTCATGCTCAACTTTACTTCGTAATTAGTTTAAACAACTGAGACCTGGATTGTCGATTCCATGGGGCCTATAGTGCCGAGCTTGAGCAGCCAATCTACTCTCCATAGTAAAATATAATCAGCTTTCTCAAATATCTACAATCACTTTCATCTAATGCCTTTCGGTGTAAATGTTGCTACATTGGCGTACTCTAACAGCAAATTGAATTATAATCAAGAATTCACTTTTTGACACCTGTTTTATTTTGCATGCATTTTAGGAGCAAGCTTTTGAAGTACATGCTGGGTTAACCTGGTGGGGACGTTTCATCTGTTTTTGTGCATTCAGCTACGCTGTGAATCATTGTGAGGTATGGTCTTTCTTTTTCATACTCATCCCTTCATCAAATAGATTCGATGCTATCCATGTACAGAGAAACTGGATGATCGTTTTGCTTCAATTTTACCTCTTGATAATTCTATTAGACCTCTGATTTTGGATGTTGTCAGAAATAGATTGATTATCTTCTCCACAGATAGTCACTACAGATCTTTTACTTTGACTTGCGGTTCAAAACCACATGGTGAGTTACCTTGATTGAAATAAGCCATTATGTTTCTGTAAATCTTCATAAGCATACATATATTCGCACTCAATTGCTCTTTCTATGCTTTTAGAAGTGACGATGACGCCACATTCAACATACAATCTTTCAGCATTTTTTCCCTATGCTGCATGCCTAACGCGGATATTTCCCTTCTCTCTCTACTCAAATTCTCCCATTGTGAAACACAACTCAGCTGGTGGTAAGTTGTCTGTTTCATTCCTCCTTATATGACGTGTAGATTGCTTATAATTAGAAATAATCATTGAAGGGGGGTTGGGGGTAAAAGTTATCTTGATGAATCCACGAGTAAAATTTCTAGTTGTATGTACTTCAAGTCTCTCCTCAATTATGAATTCGATTGAAGTGCCAACACCGACTCTGTGATTATACACATTTTGATATTTTAATAGCCTTTGAAATACATATTAGTAAGGTGATTTTTAAATGATTGACTGGTTGTTTTCCAATTTCATGCATTCTGGATTTTATGAACGTTAAAATGTACACTTATGTTTTTTTCCAATCACCTGGATGCTTATACTGAATCCCTAATTATAATAAGCGACAACTCGGCACCCAGTTATCAATATATCACTTTCTCAAATAGAATGTTCTCATTGTTGCAGTTTCTCTCACCATTGTCCCTTGCTCAGGTGCAAATTTTTTAAAGAAAACCTTCTTTTCATGCTATAATTATGGAACGGTCAATTAATGGGGTTTCGTTTTGTTTTCTTGGATAGAATTCTGTTGGATTTTATATTATCTGATAAGTGCAAAACCACTGAATTAGTTTTAACTTTTGATGAGTGGATACAGAGGAAGGACCCACAAATCTATTGTTTTACCACTTTTCCTATTAAGTTTATATTCTTTTTGAGTAGAAAACAAGGCGATAGCATTCACCTTTGCAGCTTTTGACAAGTGAACAGATGAGTTTTTTATTTCTGTAATCACCTATTTTACTGCATCCAACTTAACACTTTTCTACTTTGAGTTTACCTCTCTTGCACTTCGTTTAATACTGATTATGTGCTATAATTCCATGTTTCCTCTTTTCTCGCAGAAGTTAATACATCGCGAAGGCGGAATTCTGCCGATCTTGAGGATACAACTCTTTTGGCTACTTACGCTGGAAATCTCCTTTTACTTCCCAATCTTCATTCCACTTCTTTAACTCAACCGCAGGATGAAAATGGGTCAAGTATCGCCGGATTTCTTGGATTTGGGTTTAAGAAGGACACTAATGCTAGAAAATATGTAAGCCATCGAATGTCTGATTAGTGGTTTCAAGCTCTAGTTTCCGTAAATTTCGATATTTGATTGCATTTCCAGTTGATTCCTTGTAGAAGTTAACTGGTTGCTGCTTACTATATTTACCTTATTAAAAGAAGTTGGCTTACTTTATTCATATTTTATCCCAAAATGGAAGAATCGTGAACGTGTATCTAAGGTCACTATTTTTGAAAGTGAAAAAAATTATATTGTTTCAAATATCCTGTTTTTTGTTTAATTTTCACATTGGATCAACCGCACATTACTCGCTGAGTTAGTTAACGCTCGGACTCTTAGTAAGACCCGGGCGGATGCTTCTCTTAGTACCATATTCTTTATTTCCGTATCTCTTTAGCATCTGGCTATTGCTATTTACGCGGTCTCATGTCCAACTTAACTTTTCTTTTTCAATTCAGCGGGATACCTTCTCCCCCACTTTAATTGCCTCTCAAGTGGAGCTTCTCTGGTACCCTTCCACCTATATTCCTTTACCTTCACCACCCCAACGACCCACTGAGTTTATTGAAGCGGGTAGCAGTGACAGTGAATCTGAGGAGGATCAAGAGATCAGTGAAGTCCATTTAAGCAGTGATCCAAAGGAGGGAAGAGGAGAAATGAACAGTTCTCTTACACCATCTCTTCTTAGTAAGTCTATCTGGCTCTTTTGTGGTGCTGATGGAGTGAGGATTTGGCTGCCATTGGACACTTCTATGGGGAAAAGATCTTCCATAGGGGAGTCGTCAATTTCTTCTTCACCTACTATGGAGAGAAAACTGCAAAGTGGTGTTGGGTCGTATTCTTCTACTCTAGTACATTCGACAAAAGCCTCGAGAAGAGTTATGATTTCTCTGGGCCTAGATGGACTCTCTTATCCATTGGGTAACGTCTCGAATCATTCACTTATGCTCTTCTTATTTTTTCCTAAAATTTCAATTCATTTGACTGCAATATTTTATACCAGTCTTCAAATATATATAGCGGGCTCAACCTCCGTCCTGTGATCGCAAGTGCTCATTTTTCGATGGTGTTTTTTCTGTTTCAGTTATAACTAAATAGCAGCACATACGTCACAATTTTCAGTAACTCTTTCTTCTCGGGATTGTCTGCACTTTTTTTATGAACTAGGACTACGTTTAAGAGTATATTTCCATATTGTGTTTTGTGCAACTTCATCATCGATAGTTATGTAATTTTACTCCCTGATTACTGTTTTTCCTTTCACATGGTATGATTTTCTTCCTTGTTGCACATTTTTATTGGTGCCTTTCGAAAATGGAATGTAGATAAAATCTGTTATCGTTTGAGCAAAATTCATATAATTCCTCAGGCACTGCATTATTTGATTAGTCTTCAGAGAACAAAGACTCTTCACTGCTCTATTAATGACCAACCAGGTAGCCAATCAACTTCCTATTTCTTGTTATTTATGAATACGAGTATATGACCATTGGCAAAGGGCTAAAATAGGTCGCCTTTTACTCCACAGCTTACTGCACCTTCTGGGTCTGAATAGTTGCAGCAATGGAACCTTTCTACTCTTATTTTATCTAGATTATATTGAGGCTATGCACTTTTGCATTGATGTGAAAGTGCGAACGAAAGACATTCCATCCTTGCTCATTTTTGTTTTGTTCTCTTTCGCTGTCCATGGCGCTTTTAATAGTTTGCTGCATTAACTGAATTATTATCATTAATCCTAATTTATTCTATTTTCACCTGTTGTAGTTATATTTCTGGATAAAGCAGTTCTTGTGACAGTGCAGACCGACTACCTGAGGACGGAGCGCTCATACTCCGATGTCCTCTCTGATCCCTTTATCCAAATGCCCTTCTGCTGTGTTAATTTTAAGGTATTACATTCGGGCCTGTTTTTATCCTGTTTGTTAATAGCAACTATTTATGTGTTTAATTTTCAGACCAACTTATTCCTGCCGCATCTGCTGAAAGATTTACTGCGTAAAAAGTAAGTAAAATTTCGGTGTTCCAATTTTAAAAGAGGACTTAGTAATAATGAAAGCGTGTCGGAAATTCCTTCTATTCTTAAAAATCTATTAATATTGAAATGTTTGCTTGGGTTTGTAAACATTTACGAATCGTGTGAGAAATTAAGTGGACGATGATGAGCCAAAAGTCATGCGAAATTAGTTCTAAACTATACCGATATAAGGATAGCATTGTAATCAATAATGCGGTGATTCGTTTCAACTCTAAAATTGCAATATTTTTTAGCCTCTCGGATGTAGCATTTGAATTGGCCTCATCGTATCGTCATTTGCCATACTTTCAGCACATCCTTGAGCTTCTTCTCCACGAGGTTCTGGAGGAAGAAGCCACTTCAAAGTTCCCCATTCCTGGTATGTGAATTCTTTGAGCAAAATCAGTTTCTTAATATGCATGCCATACTACTTCCTGATTCAATTTCTTCATGCTAAGATCCTCTACTACCTCAAGTGACGGCCTTTATAGAACAGTTTCCTCACTTCCTCGACGTTGTTGTACAGTGTACTCGAAAAACAGAAGTTACATGGTGGCGTCATCTATTCTGTTCTCTTGGGAGACGACCGAAGGACGTCTTTGATCACGCACTCTCTTTGGAGCAACTTGACACGGCTGCATCGTGTCTTGTCATTCTACAGAATTCGGAGTCCCATTCCACTTGCAAGCAGGTAGTCTTCGTTCTACTAACAGAAAATTAGTTGATTTTTTATCTTTTCTTCCATTTCCTTAAGCATCTACTATTCATTAGGAATTCAGAAAATATGTGGGCCATAAAATAATAGACTTATGAAAGCTTTTATTTTTATACTTAGTGTTTCATACGCTTATCATAGTTCTATCACTCTGTCCAAACTCGTGGTGTCGGTTTATAGGTCTTAACAGAAATAGGTGACACCGAATGGTTCTAAGCGTTCAGATCAATCTTTGTCGATCCCCAAAGTCAAATTTTTGTGATAATCGCTCCAACCTTGAACGCTATTTCATCAGTTTCGATGAATCGGCTGCATTTGAAATTTTTCAATAATTTAAGTTTATTTTTTGCGTTCCATGATCCTGTACTAAATATACCAAGGACGAGTTGTGAATGCTTAATCATTTAAGCTAGAAAGTGCCCTGTGATGACTTCCTCTTACAATTTTCAAGTGTTGGTTTTATTTAAGTTTATCGTAATCTTTATCACAGTGCGCATTGATTCTTCTGGAAACTGCAATCAGGGAATGCCAATGGCATCTTGTCAGAGATTTGGTGCGCTTTCTGAAGGCTACAAGTACGTTCCATATCTATTGTATTCCTTCATATTAAGCTTTTATTATTTCACTGTGCCGTTGTTTTGCAAACAGCTCTTTCATATAAATGTACTGATGATGCGCTCAATGAAGTGGACGCTTTTTTTGAACACGTTAAGTGTCGCTTTATTCGCGAGGGGTCCTGGAAGTCTCTTGAAGAAATCTTCGCCAATTTGCCTTCGTTACCGTCTAATGGAACCGATGTTCAAAATGATTTAATGGAGTCGTCAGATCTTCAAAATTCACCTCTTCCTCATTGGCTCCTGGCTAATCGGTATTCCCCCTCTTTTTAATTTTCATGCATATTTGTCACTTTTTAATTAAATGGTTGTTTGTAGGGAACATGTAGCGATCGTAGATGATTGGCCAAGATGTTTCCAACGTCTTCATTCTGATTTTGGAATGTTTTTGCCTCTTCCAATTCAGAAAGAGGGTGTGTCTATCAATCGACAGAAGAGGCCTGGTTTTGCTAAAGCTGTTAATATAGACAAACCAAAGTCGTCCTTAAATCTAGATATTTCACCATCTGTTTGGTAAGCTTTGTTATTTATTTCCATTGTTATACGTAAATTATAAATAATCGTCCATCCTTTGCAGGCATTGTAATTTAAATTATGAGGCTCCTACTTTCCACCAAGCACTTAGAACTCAGAAACAACTCCAAGTGCTTCTTGGTCATCTTTTGCTTGTTCTTCGAGAACTCAAACCTTCATCTGAACCAGATGTCTTCACTCCTCCTGAAATAAGCCTGTTTTCTTGGGCTTTTTTAATAGCATTTCTTCAATTGGACAAACAGGCGATTTTTGCAATCTTCTCTTTCATGCAAAGCAGGTGTGAAACCAAAATCTCTTCAGAAAGCTCAATTGCTTCTATTAATCAATTTCTCAACGGGCTAGAATCATTGGAGTCATTGATAGCCACTAATCCCCGGGCTAACCCTGAGTACTTTAGTTTCTTCGTGGAGCTGAAACCACGAATTCGGAAGTTTGTTCAATATTTTGTGGAACCCAAACCAGTGGTTGCTGAGTTGGAAGAAAAGCCTGCTCTCAACCTCCAGAATGGTTCAATACTGGAAGAGAGTAATACCCTCGCATCGAAAGCGTCTCCTGAAAACCATATCTTCATGTCGATGTCTATGCAAACTATGAAAACACAGAATCATGTAGCGGCAGATTTCGAATCGGCATCGGACGAACATTTAGTTCATCCTGGTTTAGATGAAGAAGGATCTCGCTCCTCTTGTATAGTTTCTTGATAACATTGACACTCCAGTTTTGATTATTTATTTGTATTGATTTTCTGATTTCTAAAGGTTGTGATCTCTTTATATAGGAAAAGCCTTTACAGCAATACTTATCTACGAGTATGCTTGGTGTTATTTCGGGAAGATTGGAGTTTAGGGAAACCACACTTAGTAACCTTTACTATAAAGCGGTACATTAGAAACCGGTGGATTAAGTTGAGAGGTTTTATTTTAATTACGTAGCCAATGGGCAAACAAATTGTGCGATTGATCCCTCCATTGATGCGGTCTTGGCAATTAATTACTATTCTCATCTGAGTTGGCTTCATATGTTTATCATTTTCCCATGTAGAGATGGCAGATGCTCGATTAATTTGTGCCGGACGTTAATGAATAAGTATATATTTTGCTTAAAAGTTTTATCCATTTTTAAAAGCCACATTAATGTAGGCAACTACTAGAATGGATGTTTGAGTTCGTCCTGCAACAGCTGTTACGCAAATAAGTTAATTCTTAGAAATCCTCTAAGTAATTAAACTGGACCCTAGTATAGACTATTTTGCCTCCGAATTTAGCTTGGTTTCGTTGATAGCATTCATTACAAATTTGACGACCTACGCAACGTGACGAATAAATAAATTCGTTCAATGCTATGAATGTTACTCTATTCTCTGATTAACTGAGAATACCTCTGCACTTACTAGCTGCAAGATCGCTAGCACACTTCCCAGAAAATTCTGCCTTTGCCCTCGCCTTCATTATTGGTGTTTAACGTTTCACAACCTTAAGTTTGATTTTTAGCACACAGGTTAGTATTCATGAAATACATTTAAGTGAGTTGATATTTAGTCAAATTTTCTCGGAAAATACATCAATTGAAAGTATTGAATAAAGTTAATATGGTAAATAAATTATTTGTGAAAGCGACTACATGGAAAAAGCCCACTCAGAAGCCAAAGTAGTCGGAGAATTCCAAGATAAACATATAACTTGCTCTATAGTTTACATTTCATTTAAAGATCACAATTTTAAAAATTTATTCTACATAAGATAACATGGAATGATATAAAATTTCATAACACGTGTGAAAGAAAAGATTATGTTTATTGAGTATAACGCAATTTATTCGTGGGCAGAAAAGGCGACAGCTTAATAGAAACTAGATTTCATTCGTCTAAGTTGCAAGCCATATACTTTTTGTATAGCATGTAGGAAGAGTTCTAGTTGGATTATGTTATTTTAGACTTTCCAATGCCCTACCTTCTCTTTTACTAGCTTTTAACGATTCCTTAGCCTACAACTTATTAGATATTTATGTGAAATCCATAAACTAATAATCACAAAAACGAACAAATTAATTGGAAGTCAATTTTTAGATCTAACTGCATATAGTGGATAATTTGGAAATAATGCATGAACAGAATTTCAAAATATTTCCTCAAAATTATTTCCTTCTGACATAATATAATTTTAAATAATTCTAAAATGCTACGAAATTATATTTATATTATCAGTAAAACATTAACTAATCATTTATATTAGATTTTAATTTTCACACATGTACTTTATAAATGCCTATTTACTAGCCCAGGTTCAATTACCTTCTATACTGTGTTTGTTGCGTGAAGCCATTGGTCGTCTGAGATGGCTTTAGCTATAACAAAGTAAGAAATGTTATGTTTACTAGCTATTTATTTTCAGAGTCTTTGCAAAAATCAGTGTCTTAACAGGAGCAGTCTATTATAGTATCATCCGCGGTGTATGGAGCTCCTCCTCGGAAAGCGCCGAGGCCTATGAGGATTTAAAGACTTACGTAATGCCGCAGGTGTCCGAAGCTGTGAGAAAAGTTTGTATTAGATTTTTCACAATTTATCCCTTTTCTAGGTTCCTTATGAAGCTCAAGTGAAATGGAATGAATGTGTTAAATCCTCCTTTTCCCAACTTGAGTCGATCTCTGCAAGTTCAGTTTCAACAAAGCTTGATGAAGTCCTCAAGAAAACTAAAATTCGTAGCGATTAGACCACTTGTACCTCTTTTCTGTATTATAGTTGTTATGAATTAAAAGTAGTGTTTTTTTCATTCAAGCAATATGTTCTTTTTTCTTCGGTTTGGAGAAATTGCTTATTTGTAGAATGTCTGGAGCAAACGTTGTGCGTTTTCTTCTTGCTTGTGGTAAAATTAAGGTACGTATTCAAATGAAATTGTCTTGCTCCATTCATCTGAATTATTTCATCTCTTTTGACCCATAGGTTCTTTTATCCTGCAGGATCCTCTGCTTTGAGCATTCATCTCATTTTTTCTTTTCCCTTGATTTTAATTTTCCTCATTTAAAAACCTAAGCTTGTACAATTATTGTTTGATTATTTTATACACAAATTTGGCTAATGGGCGCAAGTAGGGTATTTGGAACATGAAATAGGAAAATCCTGTTCTTGGAATAAAATGTGCCAAACAAACGTCTCAAATTGTGCTAGACTGATGGAACACATTAGCGAAGCATTTTGTTGGCCTAAATTTGAATGTTCAGCCTTGTTTCTTGATTAGCTAAGTCTTAAGACACCTCGGAAAGCTTAAAACTGCTGCTTGGGGAATTTCATCTTCATATTTCGTAGGTTTGATCTAAAGTTCTTTATCCACTTGTTTTAATATGATTTTCGGGATTTTTTAGTTCCGCGTCGATTCACTTTTCTTTACTATCCAACTGAGCGCTCTTTTAAAGAGAAAACAGTGTGACTCGTACTATCTACTGCGTAGTTACTGGCAAAAGTATTTTTATTAAATTTGTTATTATTTTGCTATAGATGATTATCAAACGGAACACTTGGTTATTATTTAAGTTGCCATTAGTCTAATTATGGTTATTAATGTATGTTGAATTTTTTACTATTTTAAAGCAGGTAGAATAGCGCTTATCGAACATATGGTCAGTAGACCGTCCCATCACTTAGATGAATTTATCTTGACTAAAATACTTCATTGACCCTTTGAGTCGGCTATCCCAAAGCATTTCCACTGAATGAAACCTTATTTATAAAGAACGGAGGGAACATAATTAGTTCTCATTTCGTTATCTCTCTATTCTTGATTACTGTCAGAGAACCTTTGTCCAGCTTTTTTATACTTTAATATAACAGTAAAACGATGTTTGGAAACAGATTGCCTATAATTATCCTGGACAAACTGCTCAGTTATTTCAGTCTCCTAATTCTACAGCTTTTAAATGAGAGGATTCTATTATTATGTTTTAATTAGCGAACCGTTCGTACTGGCTGGACGCGATATGGTGTTAATGAGCCAGAAAGTGTTTCAGACCATATGTACCGAATGGCTCTCCTTTCCATACTTCTCCCTTCAACAGAAGCCTTCAAACCCGAGAAGTAAGCTTATTTTAAAAGCAGATTGTTTGTAACTGCCTGGTTGCTTGTTTATTTCTACTTATTTGTATTTAGTACGTTCACTATTTTGATTTTAGGATTAAAACCGTACCTACTTTTTCATTGTTACATTTTTAACTTTAGGGTGATGAAGATGGCCATTATTCACGATCTCGCTGAGTGTATCGTTGGAGATATTACGCCTTTCTGCGGTGTTTCAAAACAAGAGAAGCACAGACGCGAAGAGGTTAGTTTCGGATCTCCTTTTTTAATTCATCGAGTTTTTATGTAACGTATACTATCTTTCGGCTTTGCTTTTTATTATTGTCCTATTTTGTGTCAGGTACAGCTTGAAACTCGATCAAGTTTATACTATACACAAACGATTAGATTATTTCTGCTCAATTTGAGACAAATTGGTTTTCAGTTATTGATTTTATTTCATTTTCAATTCTCTTATGTATGCTGAAATTTTTCTATTCTGTTCGCAACTTCTTTTTGGGTTTTATTATTTTTCCCATCAGTTATAACAGAGTAGTTACATTATTATTTTTGCTATTGTCTCTTTCAAGTCACAGTTTATTGATTTAATTGGCTGTTATTTTTGTTTTTCTAGGAGGCTATAACATTCATCTGCAGTAGTCTCCCGGAGGATATTGGTCCTGAGCTTGTCAGTTTGTGGAAAGTGAGTAAGCCATTTTCTTCGCCTCTAAAATGTAGTTCTGTAGTTACTTTTGGTCTTTGTTGATGTAGCTCTTCGATTTCTATTTTCGGTTTCCGTGTTATTTGCAGAAAATTGCAAGAATTTTTAAGGATATTTAACTGCAAGAAGGAACATAAGAACATTCTGTGGGTGTCATTATATACATTATCTGCAATTTATTGTATTTATCAACTATTCAATGGATATTCATACTTTCTGCCATCTAACATATCTACTGCTAAAAGGACTATATAATTATCGATGAATATAACGTAGTGTTGTTTTTTAGGAATATGACGAACAGAAAACACCAGAATCCTTAGTATGCAAGGATTTGGACAAATTCGAGATGATTTTGCAAGCCTATGAGTACGAGTTGGAGGCCAATCGACCCGGATGGTTGGAAGAATTCTTTAAAAGCACTGAGGGTCTCTTTACTTATCCATGTGTGCGTGAATGGGTCGATGCTCTGCGGAAAGAGCGCTCCGAATTTACCACCAAGAAATAGACTTGGTTCATCCTCCTTACAATCGTGTGCGCATTTTATCATCCCATGATATCCCAAGCAATGCCGATTTTTATTTGTCAACTGATATGATATCTTAGTGATTTCCTAAACCATTCTGGTTTCTTGTGGCATTAACAACGAATGATTCGGGCGCGCCTTCATCGGATTGATTTAGTTTGCAATTATTATGAAATAATATTTATAGTTTATTTAAAAGTAAAAAGAAGTTAGTCATTTGCGTGATGGTGTCAGTCCTAATTTCACAGCCTCAAAGCCGACCAATATTGGATATAAGAAAGGTCTTAAAAAAGAGGCTTCACAATTACCTCTAATACAAGTATAAATTGCCGCAAAGAGCCATCAAATAATCACAATATCGAATAAGGGATGCTTTTATCTCGAGAGATAGCTGCCTTCCTCATTCGTTAAGTGTGATTATTTAACTACAACTGGGATATTTTGGATTGAAGCAATAACGGCACTTTTATCCCACGTATTACCACGATCAGAAATCTATTGTGCTCAGTCCAATTTGTATTCCCAAAATTTTCACGATTTGGCTGAAGCATCGAAAAAGTTGACACAAAGGAATGAAAATTGGATTTTGTTCAAAATAAACAAAGACGATCATCGGAATAAGAAAAAACGGAGAGGGTCTGGAGCAATTATTAGTAAAAAAATTGGAAAACAATGAAAGTAGAATGCATCCAAGTTTTCAATGGAAATATAACGATACACAAAAACTAAAAGCATGCAAGAGTATATTTAGGCAATTACAAAAGTTAGATGTGTGTTAGAGTTCATTTTTAATATTTTTATCAGAACTCTCAGTCGAAGAAGCATATTCTGAAGGCATGGATTCATCGAGGCATTCAGAGGGTAGATCTTTCAATACCAGATTACGACAAAGAAAATCAAGAAGACTTGTACCATCCTGATGTTCGAAAAACCATCTTTCAATCTCTTCACCATATTCGGAAACGAGCTTTTCACACTGACATTTTGTTAGTTAGAAAGACCATGCATACCCTTTCTTTGAGCATTGAAATTTCAAGTGATGGAGAATCCCATAACGATTGTGGTATATCCAACTTGACATCAACACCACGATCACTAAAGAATATAAATACCGTTAAAGTGAGCCTTACACTAGCTGCTTCAGTGTTTCAAAAGTCTGTGGCCGAGATTTCTGAAATCTCGTGCTATCTTTTCTTTCATTATGAAGTCTGTATTGAAGCATATTATTACACAGAGAGGGGTCTTCCAATATTTCAGTAAAGCGAAGTTCTCTAGAAATTATATTTATTCACGAGCTTACGATTTTGCATAAGGTACTTTCTTATTGAAATTTCCGTGATAATCTAGCATTTCTGAGCTGTCAGTTGCATTATAGCGAAGCATGAATTCATGATAGAATAATTTGCATACTTCACATGGTGTTGGAGGATTTACAGCGCTTTCAGCATCAGCATTTACAAATTGCAACTTATTAAATAGGTTAGAGGAAAGAATACAAAAAAAGAGAATGAACGAAGACATCTGATTGGAATTAAGCGGGTGCGCAAGACTCGCAAAAAGTAACTTAAAATGATGAAAGTCTAAAGTTTATAAAAAAAATATTAATTATAAAAAAATAATTTGAATCACTATGCTTGAATTATATCTCATAAACCGATAATTTTGGTTTTATTTTATGCTCAAGGCTAAAGGCCTATTTGAGGTTGTTGCAACGAGCGGGTTGTTGTGGTCCGCCTGATGTTCGCGTGGGTGGGTTTCATTAGCCTTGGATTTTTCTAACTACTTTTTGCGCTTATTTATCCATATGTTATGACTTTTCTAAATATTAATACGTATCTGTAGGGTGCTAATAGTCATGGTCAGCTGGCCGATGGCACTAAAAATGATCAACATATCCCGACTTCCGTTCCTTTGCCATATATGCCAAAATTTATATCTGGCGGAGGAGTATTTAGTGTTATAGCGAATGGTATGAGTGCTTATTTTATCATTTTTGTGTACTTAGATAATAGTCTTTGGGCTGCTGGCCAATTAGACCAGAATGGAACGATGGAAAAGCAGAAAACATTTGTGTTCTTAGGATCCATTAAAAATGGCATACAGTTTATTTCCTGTGGATGGGATTTTTGCGTCGTTCTAACAGCCTGTGGCCAGCTATATTTTAGAGGAAGAAATAGTCCAGGATTTGAATTAGATAACGGTTTGGTCCCTTCTTGGATTGGTAGAATTTCCCTTCTGCCACTTAATACTTTGAAATTCAGTTCAGTAGCAGCTGGATTGCGTCATGTTGTCGCAGTAGCAGATTGCAACAAAGTGCTCGAGTTTAAGGGTGGTACTACACGGGAGCTACTTTTGGAGAAGTCCATCAAAGTTAGCAGATGTTCAGCTGGTGCCCACCATTCAGTTATTTCGACTAGTAAGACTTTCGTTTTTCTCCCGATTTATTTCGTTTAGCTGATGGTAAGGTTGGTGTTTGGGGTGACAATCGATTTGGTCAATGTGGGCCGCTCGTAAACGGTTGTACCTATCGCCCTAAGAAAGCAGATGAAATTCAGTGGATTTCTTCCGAATATTTCAATAATGATAATATTATTGATGTTCAGTCTGGATGGAGCCATATTCTAGCTCTTACAGGTAAGATTTGGTCTTCACTTTATCGTAATCTTTCTAATTAGAGAGTGGTAAGGTTTACTCATGGGGTCGATCTGATTTTGGTCAGCTAGGACGAACCATCCTCAGCCCTGGCATAAGTTCGAGCTCTTCTGTGTGGCCTCAAAAGGGTCTTGTTTTCGATCCAACTCCTCACTTAGTGCAGATAGGTACTTCCTCTTCTATTATATCGATATCCGCTGGAGCGGAACATTCGCTTGCCTTGACGGAAGATGGTCAACTTTGGACTTGGGGATGGAATGAACATGGAAATTGTGGTGTAGATCCGGAAGAAATGGGCAATGTTTTGACTCCTAAACGCGTTGTGATCGAAGATGAAAGCAGACCTATCTCATTAGTAGCCGCTGGTTACGGATTTTCTATGTCCCTTGTTGACGTATGGTGACTTTTTCTCTTGGAGTTTTCTGTCCTTATTTGTTTTTAGAATTGAGATTTTTACGTAATTCATTTATTTTTATTGTATGTACATGCACTTCCTTCCATTTGCCTTTAATCTTAACGCTTATTTTTATGACTACGATTTTGTAGATTTTACACTGATAAAACATTATCTTGATTTGTCCAATCTGGCGTTCTAAAAACGATAGTCTGATATTTTTATCTGCTAGTGGCACAGTTTTTAACGTTATTGTTTGCGAAGTCAGTGATCCCGGGTCTGATATCCAAATTAAATCATTGACTGTCGAATATATGGATTGTTCAGCAGTATTTATGAATTTTGAATACATTTCTTCTTTATAAATATGGCAGTGCGTGTTCTATTTTAATTGGCTCTTTGATTCGGTTTGTTATGTGGTGATTAGCTGCACTAACAAGCCTTCACTTAAGCTCGGTAATCTCTATGACAGGTTCTTCTACTTTTGAAAGGCCCCCTCTAAGCTTTAGAGGAAGCAGATGTGTGACGTGAAAAGCATTAATTTTGGAAGTGTGTTACTGGCAGGGAGCTTGGTCACTAGATTGCAATGGAGAATTTTCAATACCAAACAAGGTCTTAATTAGCGGTTGGCTGGGTGGTCTCCGCGCTCTCGATCCCACTTATTCCCTACTCGAAGTAGCACCGCGCACTTTCAGGTCTATCTAAGTACGCTTGGGATTCCTTTGTTTGGCGTTGTGTGCTCCGCAATTATGTCTCTACTGGGTTCCACGGTGGTCTGGTGGTCCTCCATCTTGAGTGAAACGAAAAGGGTGTTGGCCGAAGAAATCCTATTTGTTTTGAATTTAAAGCCACTTTATTAAGAGTGTTCAATATGCAGCAACTATAACATTATAGCTTGGAATTCGCCGAAGTTTCTATTGAATGTTTAATTAAGGTGAACTTATTATAATTCGTAAATATCGGAAATCTTATCTTCTGGAACGATCCACTCGCAGAAACTGATGTGCGAAAAATGATATATGTGGCACTTCATCATGGTACTTCCATTCAGCTAACCCTAAGTTCTAAATATATGGAAGTGCGTCATTTATCTTGGACATGTATTGAGCATCCCAGAGCCACTCCCATGAGTCCCTTCTTTTTCGCCTTCTTTAATTTCCATTTAATTTAGTAACCTCAACCTGTATGTGTCCAATTAGCTGGTTTTAATTTCGAGTAAATATCGAATTGGAGAATAGCTTTTTTAAACTAGTCATGTAGAGCAGCTTTTAGACGACTAAATATGTTATGGGGATGAGTGTTTAAGTGACCAGAACTAGAAGAGGGCGAAGATTGTTGCGACCGGCAACAATTATGAATAATAATCTATTTTGACTAGAGGAGGGGCGGAGTCTTCTGTATTTGACGATGGATAACCTGGATGCAGTGGATGTTAGATCTGGTGAACGTAGCAGATACAGATATGGTTACATATCCTTTAGGACTGGAGATAATCCAATCGGTTGATCAATCCATTCACAATGACACAGCGAGTATGTAGCGAGAGGTGTTCTGCTTCAATGCGAGACAGGTTACAAGTGTCGAACAGATTATTAAAGTCAGGTTGACTATGAATATGAAGCACTTGGGATTATAGGTGGATATTACTATGGAGAAATGATTCGAGAAAACTTTTCCACTCTGACCCCCATAATATTGATCTGTAAGCAATATCTAACTACAGACTTGATGCTTTGACATTTTCTCACATCGTTATTTGACATTAATAATCCAAGTAGCAAAATGACTATTAGTGAAGCATAAAAAAGATTATAATTGATCTCGTTTTGATGCTGAACTTAATGGCCCATCACGTGATTGCTCTTTTAGCCTAACTAGCAAGTTTTTAATGTCTCTATTCTGCCACCACCAATGTAACTTTATACGTATGGAGAAATAAAAAACAAGTAAGCGCTCGACTAAACCATGATAAGCCTAATTAAACTCCAACTAGCCCCTAGCTGAGTTTTCGGGAATGCATTGCCCTCGGGATAGTTAAGCTACCTCCAAGGTGCTAGAAAAAAACAGGCTGCCCTAACGCCCAAAGTACTTCACTGTCAAATGGATTTGAAGTAAGCACATCGCAGTAACTAAAACTAAACTCTCAGCATTAAGAGAGTGTAGAAAAGTCTTATTTTACAAAAGTGCTTCTCGCAGAACTTCCAAAAAAAGATATATTTACAGGAATAGCAACCTTTTGCCTCGTAGTCTTAATCCCCTCTGTTTTTTGAACGGATTTTAAGTTATCCCCCAATTCATTCGTTTAATTGTGCTCATGAATAAAATAAGAAGGTTGATTTATGATTAAGGTTTTTATTAAGAGTAAAGATTAAGTTTAAGGTTGAAACCAGCAGGCAGAGATACAGAACAACGGGACTTTGGGGCATTTCACGTTCTAACAGCCAATTCCTCCTTTGTAAATGTACATAAATGGTTCAAGTCTATCTGAATGCTTCATTTTGTTCTCATTAACTTAAGGCTTGGCATGGAAGAGATAGAGAGATACAATGTAATGAGAATCCTTTAGTATTTGAGCAAAACATTGCATACTCCTATTTGTGACTGTTGGTTCTTGAGATGTGCGCCTATAGATGCCTAACTCGGAGTTTGAAGCCACATCATAAGTGAGTATAGACAAGAAGAGGTTGATTGGCTGGTTAAGTGTTGGCAATACGTGAAGACCTCCAGCAAGATTTCGTCAATGACCATTGCTTTAGATAATTACTCGGAGGATGGGTAGCTGTTAATTTGTTAAAATTCGCATCCATAGATGACGTTGCTGTTGACGTATTTTAATTTCTCCGCTATCTTAATGTTCTCTAATAACTGCCAGTTTCTGAATTTGGAAAAACGCGAATCACGAAAAATAGTTAATTCGAGAGTTGATAATCAGTATATATAATAGATATTGGTTTGATTGAATCATGTTTTTTTCGTTCATTCACTGCGAACTAGTAATCATGAACGAACAAGATGTCGGGGAATTTATTGTGAATTAGCTTCTCAAATTTCTTCAAGTTTGATTTCCTATATCCTTCAACAGTTAGAATATAGCACATTTCCCCGTATTTGTTCCTCTGAGTCCTAGACATATTTAGACGTGTGGTACATCCGGTTAGTTGAGCGATGCGAAGGATGCGCCTGTCGTCATTATCACCTATAAGCCCCAAGTATTTTGATTGTAGAAGCATCACACACGTTGGGACTTTCGGTTTTAACACTTCATACTCAAATACTTCAACCACATCGTTAAAGTGGACCGCCTTCTTTACAGTTCGTTTTTCACTTGCTGGCGAAGAATTTTCCATTTCGAAATGCAATTCGTAAATTTAGCAGAACTATGACTTAAAAATGATTTCAAGTGTAACAATCGATAATTCTTTAACATACATGCACGTGCTTCAAATTCACGAAAATTCAAATCCATGTCTTCTTTTAAAAAATAAGCAAATATAGAATTAATGTCCTTGAGTTTTTTAAGGCTTACATTTTCCTTTTACTACCTGTTAGTTGCGTTAAAATGAAAATGCTCTACTCTACTACGGCAGTAGCAGTGTTAATGGCTGTCATGAACACTACGGAAATAGGCACTTGGTTATACAATAATAACCCATTAACGTCTCCTCCCCTCATCCGTTCAAATATTTTAATAAGGCTACATCTAAATTCGTGATAATTAAGGGGTATCGTGACCAGAGCTATTGAAAACGCTTACTCTTCGCAAATGCAATTAACGTAAAGGTCCACGAATCTTCCTATCTGATTGGGTTATTTTCCTCAGTACGCATGACCACGCTCGCTCGATCCGGTATTGGTAAACGTCGTACGTTCTTAAATGTTCCAGCTTGGGCGAGGTTCTATTTGACCGCTTGTACGCGCTCAAGTTTTGCGCTTCAAGGAAATCACCAGTCGTCATTTACATTTGGTGAAACTAACAGAAACAGAAACGTTCTGATTTTATTGTAAATACAAGACATTGACAATAATCAATCTCTACTTTTAATCTATTTACCTAATTACCTGTGATTTTCGAAGTTAAAGTAATTAATGAGAAACATCTTCCAATTAGTTTACAAGTATTGGTTATTTAATAACAGCATTCTAGTTATTTTTTTAATGAGCCACTTTTTTTAAAAAATGAATTAACTCTAAGTGGTCTTACAACGTATTAACAGGGTTTACACAATTATTGTCAATTAGTATTGTGGGCACGTCATCGCATACACGCACGCACGCCTCCGTATACAGCAACCATACAACCAGCGGCCAATCAGAAGCCTCCTTTTGTTGAACCTAATCCACCCTGCTGATTACGACTAATCTCTCTGCATGTACATTTTACTCACATTGTACTTCCTGAATAAACGTGTTCTGTGCGATACGTCTGATGCCTCTATAGCTGTGCTCTAGCTTAGTTAGTTCCGGGAGTCTAGTTAGATATAGGAGAATCTGCCACAAGGATTCCTGAGTCAGTCGGGCTTTACTAGTGGAGCGATCCGCTACAGTATTTTCATTTATTTAAATCCAGGTATGCAATTGTAATTAAAGATTGCCAATATTTAGTTTTGAGTTCTCATTTCTTGTTCAAATGAATTTAAACAGCATTATGATATCTAGTACGTGAATTCGTATATATTTGTCTTAAAACGGGAAAAATGTATTAAGTTTGGAATCATGTGCTCTGATGAGCTATTCTGAAAATATACTGCTAGTAGGCGTTTCACTATGGGAAATATTCGCACCCTTTAAGTCGGAGCTCAACCATATAACACTTAAAATAATATATCGAAATTCCCATCTGCTCAAGATTTATTTGTTTTTAACAAATGGTTGGCTTTATGATAGATATCAGTAGTCATTATTTGACTCCGGGTTTCACAGAAGGGGAGGAACAAAAAGTCAAGAGGGGGAGTGAAAGAGTGACTAACAAACAGACACAAGGTTTGAGAAAAAGGTAAAGTGAGTACTGTGAAAGTGGTCGAATATGACATACTGTAGGGTCATGGCAGTTTGAAGTCAGAAATCAACTGACAGTTAATAAATTTTTTTGCCGTATGGGTATACGTTGCCCAGGGTACACCACGTGGAGGTAAGTCTGTCGCGTAACTCCATCTGCTCAAGATAAGTGCTGAAGTAAACAGCCACTTAAGAAAACTAATATTTAGCAGACTAATTTTCATTAAAGTTTTCTTAACGTTAAGCGATTGATCCTTTTCAACTTGTGCATGTAGCGTATTGTTTGAGGTTAATGTTCTGTATATTTAATTTTAACCACCTTCTCCATCAAAACTACCACTAGATACTCTTACGCCCCCCCCCTCCCCCAACCAGTCATTTGTAACATCAAGAAATATTTGTCCTTTTGCAGTTACAATAATGTGTATTCCGCAGTACCTTTTCGGCTTGGTGCTAGTCATATTCAAACACGTAGTTCATCCACAGTTGTTAAATACGCCTATCGTCTTTCATCCGGATAATTGGAAAATTAACTTGAACCACCACTGAACCCTACACAATACATTGCTTCCTATTTGATTACTTTAACCGTTTCATTCAAAAAAAATTCCACGTACTATCTCATGTTCAATTTTTGTGTTGCCTACGCCGATCACAAGTAGTCATATGGTTTCTGTGGTGCCAGGCTTATGGATCGGATTCTTTTTACTGCGAAAATGGCAAATTGTGACAAAACTTAGTCATTAAATAATGTTTGCTGCGTTGTCTTAGCACCCACGTCATGGCTACGCGTTCGGTAGCACGTCATACCTTTGATAGAAAAAGGGGCTCAATCGATACGGCAGTGTGACTTTAAGCTATACTCGAGAAGATGATTTTGACTTTGTGGTTAGAACTTTTCATTTGATGAAGAAATATAAACTTCAATTTATGAGTTAATAAACGAATCTGTCTACAATATGCATTAAAAGCATTGTTGGGCTCCAAGAGGACATGATAATTCACGACCTTCTAACTACCCTTTTCTAAGACATAAGGCATCCAGTGATTGGACACTTGAAATCATCACTAATAGTAATGTCGGTGAAAATGTGATATTTGCAAGCAGAAGAAAGGTACGAAAGCATTTACAGACCTTTTCAATTGGATTAACTTTTATCAAGGTCAAGCTTATATGATTTACAGCTCCTGTAAAGCACACAAAGCAGAAGCACATAAAATCAGCAAATATTTAGTTGTTATTAATCAGAAAAACCAAAAAATCAGAAAATATAGGAGGAAATACTGTTGTGGTTCAAATTATCACAAATAGAAGAGGGAGAAAATGAAGAAATGACCGTTATTTATTCTTTTTATCTTCTGCTTCCTTTGGCGGTGCAGATGCATGGTTTAGGGGTGGAGCATAGAAAGTGTTTGGATCTTGAGGGTAGTAATATCCAGTGGTAGCTGGAAAGGAAAAAACCAATACGATAAAATTCATACGCCTGCGACCAGATATGATCTTTGATAAGCATTAAGCGAAATTTAATGAAAGTGAGTATTTTGTGAAAGTTTTTGCCTGGAAAGTGTTTTTAACATTCAGTTATAGTTTGGCCTAAGGACAGCTTAAAAGGCTTCCAATGTTCGACATTGTCTCATCCAAATTATGAAAACTAAAGTTTTCTGCTTCAAAATAAGTGTTTAATAAGAAATTCACTCAATAAACAGCGCACTTTCGTGTGAATCTGATCAAAGTGGATAAAGGTAGGAGAGTAATTAAAAAGTAATAGACAGACAGTTGGCGAAATTGAAATCTAATTAAAAGTCCAATGAACATTATGCGTTCGCTTGCTACAGTACCCAGTCGTGGCAAAATAAAACAAAGTGAAGTTTCACCGATATCAATAAAAAACCTCAAAAGGATCAGATCTTAAATCAAAGTTCACGAGGATTAAAATATTATATTTCCTCATCCTTTAGAGTATAAAGTCTTTCCATTTACCGATAGGGACCTAAACCGCATTATTCATGCATGTGTACACAAAAGTCAAAAAAAATCCGAATACTCGAATATCCCGAATTTAAACGCAATCCTGAAAAAACACCCAAACCTCTAAAACATCTAAACCATAGGGTCATGAAATCGTATAATTATGGTTAGCGTGCAATTAACTGAAACACACATTAAAGTTTCTTTTTATCCTCCGGTTCCATTGGTGGTGCAGAAGGTTCAGCAGAATACTGAGGTGGAGGATAATAGCCGTAGGAAGGGTAGTTATTTCCATAATCGACTGTAGGCAAAAAGAAAAAGTAATGGCTAGTAAATACTACTTATTTGGAGAGCCTAGTTACTTGAGATAACTATTGAAAATGGAGCAATTCTAACAGTAATGCAAAGCCCTATTTTGACAAAATCGTGAGTAGATTACTAACAAATTCCAATGCACAACAATACAGCTTTAAAACCTTACATCACAGGGATATACTCCAGCGTAAAGGAATTAAGAGTTCGTAAAGGGAAGCATTTCCAATTTCATGATATAGTATATAGAATAGTAGAAATGAGTCAGAGAATCCGAGCAATCTCATTTTATCTGAACTCCAAACTCATTGAGTTGATGTATTTTACAAACTGAAGTTCCTTTCATTTTACTATCTTACCCTTTTTAAGGTGAATCAAGGTGATATACTTTCACGAAATTTTATTAATTTGACCATCAGGCGAAAAACAACCTACAGCTAATAAGAAGAAACACTTACCAAAGATATTCATTTTACTACACTTAAAGGACATCTTTAGAAAAAAAGATCGTAACCTCCTCCAGAATATCTCCGTTTATTTGAATAAACAAATTATAGCCTGTAATATTCATTCAAATAGAAGACAAGTGGTTAAATAACAACCCTTTCCACACAAAAAAAACAAGTAAAACGACCATCTAAAAGAGTTCATTTCATTTACCTTGCAACTTTAAAAAACATGGAATTGCTTGGCTAAATTAATGAGGATCACACAGAGAGCAGCTTTAAAACAAGATAAAGTAGAAATGAAAATTCGACGCTAATTAGAAGCAGAAGCTTAATGGAGAACTATATGCATTAGTTAGATCTAATTGTCAGAAAATCTATTCGTAAACGAAATTTACTGGAATTACACAAGAGTCTTATCATACACTGCGATTACTACAACAGATTTCACAATATGCACATCCTTACGTAACGAAAATACAAAGAGGTTAAACAGATACGCCTAACCAATTTGTGTAAATCAAAATAATAACATACCATTTTGAGGATTACTAGGGGGATTTGGAGCATATGACGGGCCTTTTAAGAAGAGAGCAAATATCGGTTTAAAATTTCAACTTAACTAAAATTTTTTAAAGAAAGCTTATTCTCACCTTGAGGGTAGCCGGTTGAATATGGCATAGCTAAAAATAAATAGAAAATGCTTGAAACACACAACAAATCTTCTTTTCTAACTGTAATTTGTTATTGAGTACAAGAACCTACTTAAAATGAAAAAAACGGTTTGAAATCAGAACAATAAATGGACAAGAAGACAAACTAATTTCAAAAATATCAACAACTCTATTTCTACCAGGTCACATATAGATAATTAATACTAAATAAAAAATAAAAGCTAACATACAATTAGCTGGTGGAGCAGGATAAGGCGCGTCTGGAATAAAATGGAAAAAAGGTTAAACAACTAAAGGAGAAACGCTCAAAACAAAATGAGCAAAATATGGGAAATTTAATTTACAGTTAGGCGCCTGAGCCCCAGAATAAGGCGGCATTGAGTCAGGTGCCATGTAAGGTGGGGGTGTAGATGAAGCGGCATTATAAGGTGGTGGAACCGCACCGGGATATGGTGGTGGTGCATTAGTTTGGTACAAGTAATCAGCTAAAAACAAGAGTAAAAATCATTGTGACATAGTTGTTTAAATAACGCTGTTTAAAATTAAAATAAGTATATTTACATGGAGGAGGTGAGAATGAAGGATGAGGCTGCATGAATGAATTATAATATGGATCGTTGGCGAATGGCGTATAAGCAGGGGGTGGGCAAGAGTATATCTCGCAAGCCGGTGGAATAGGCGGCATCTGATAAGTTCGTTGAAGCTTGCTGGCTCGAGTTCCAAGTTCAAGAAGAGCTTTTCCAAATTCGATGGCTCCACCATGGTTAAAGACCATTTCGAATTGAACTTCGCCTTCCCATTGGCCAGACTCAGATCTAACGAATCCTCCAATGTAATTTGCTCCAAAAGTTGGTTGCTTAATTTCGACACGTTTCATAAAGACGAAAGGCATGCTAAGTGACTTTATTGCTGGAGTCTTATCCTTAGTAAGGAAAACAACACGATGCGATGTGAGGTATGCCGATCCTCCGAGCTTCGCATTAGGCTGTTTAGCCGATCCCATAAGTTTTAGCTTACATCCATCATAGGTAACAAGAAGCCTTTCACCGTAGTAAAGTACTACACCAAGTCCATCCTGACTGTGAGCGGTGTTGATAGACATGACTTAAAATTAATGACGCAAAAAACGGATCATCAACAATACCCGCGCAAACCAATGGTCTAAGTGCATTAGTACGAATTAACGGATATAACATCGTCATATACACAAAAATATCAATATTAATCTTAAAATAAACCCATATAAAAATTAAAAAATAAGTAATAAATGACAGAAATCGGCACTTTTTACTCTATCTTTCTCCTTTCCGAGAACGATTCAAAGTAGTTACTTTGATGCACATATTTAGGAAATACTGCAATTGACCATAAGATTTATTTAAGACTCGAAAAATATCAAAAAAGCTTAAATTCGAATCGTTTTGTGAAAAGATATATCAATTTATGAGGATTCTAGATTGTAGCTAACCAATAATATTTATATCAAATGACAGGCGTTTTGATGATTATCATTAGCCCATTAGTTGACTTCAGGCTTCACAGAGAGG